ACTCGGTATTACAATAACAAAGCACTAAGAATCCTGGCAGAGACAGATCTGGCTGCGTCCCTGTAACTCTTTCTCACAAAAAAAATATTAACCGAATTTTTGTTCATAACATTTATCGAAGGGTCTTCACGTACATTAAAGGCAGATGAAGCCTCCCCAAGGGGCTACATCTAAAATTGAGGACAGCCAAAAACTTTTCAACAGATATAATCTTGGTTTATTTATATATCAGTGGTTAATCCTCCAAATACAGGTTCAGGTAATGAAGTCATATACCCCCAGTTCCACATGTGAGGAGCAAAATCTGTACAGAGGAGGATCCTGAGGCCTTTCTCCCACTTGAGGTAATCTGCTTGATAGATATGGGCACAGGGCAACTCTCGGGGATTCCTGCAGGGCTGCAAACACCAAAAGGTTTCTTATGCTGCTGACTTTGCACTAGGGAGGTCGGGACACGTCTTGTTCCGTGGCAGCAGAAGAATGCAGACTGTCTTCGGGCAGTGAGTCAAGCAGGGAGTACTGATTGCAGGAAAGGAGACCCTGGGGTTCTGTGCACCTGATTCTTGGGGAATTTAGCCCTACTCCTTCTCCTTCACTCCTTCCTCACTACTCTACACATTCCCCGTGGACCTGGGCAGGCTGCTCGCGTGGCCAGAGCTACTTGTTGTGCCGAGATACATCTGCTGCTCTTCTACAGAGCCTTCCCACGAGAGCCCAGCCCAGGGTGGCATGGCACGCCGCCCGCCACTACTTCTGCCACTGCAGGCAATGGGCAGTGCAGGAAACGTGCCCTGCGCAGGCGCGGAGTCCCTTCGTGTTCACGAGCCTAGACTCCATTTCCCAGGGGGCATAGGGCTTTCCTGTGTTGCGGTTCGTGTGCGTTATTTCCACCGCGGTTGCGCTGATTCGTCTTTGCAGCGTTGGTGGCGGGAGAGACGATGAGGGGCGGGAGGCTCGGGGCAGCTGGAGTCCGTGTCCTCGGTCCTCGGGACGAGTCAGTAGGAGAGGATCGCTCGTGAGCTCTGAGGGGCCAGGAAGGACCGGCCGGTTTCTGGAGCTGGAACGTCAGAGCCGGGGTCTTCCGCGGGCAGTGTGGGTGAAACCGGACGATTTCCTGTTGGGAGGTGTCCTTGAGCCCCTCTGGGGCCCTGGGCTTCGTGAGTGGGCGGGAGCAACCTGGGCTGCATGCGCTGCTGTGCGGCTGCAGCAGGGCACGACTGGGCGGAAGGAAGGGGCTTCTGGCACCCGCGCTGGGACGGGCTGGGCAGGCGGGTCCGTGCCAAGCCCGGGAGGTTCAGCGAGGCCAAGGGCAGGTGTTGCACCTGCATTAGGGCAACCCGAAACACAAACAGGCTGGGGGAGAATGGATGGAGAGCAGCCCTGGGAAGGATGTGGGGGCATGGGACATTGACAAGAAGCTCAGCACGCTGTGGCAACGTGCATTGGGAGCCCAAAAAGCCAACACTGTCCTGGGCACATCCCCAACAGCGTGGGCAGCGTGTGAGGGGGGAATTCTGCCCCTCTGCTCTGCTGAGACCCTGCCCTGCAGAGCTGCCTCCAGCTCTGGGCTCCCCAGCATAGAGAGGACAATGAGCTGCTGCAGTGAGTCCAGGGGAGGCCACAGAGATGATCCAGGGGCTGCAGCCCCTCTTCTCTGGACACAGGCTGGGAGAGCTGGGGGTGTTGAGTCTGGAGAGGATTCCAGGGGGACCCTAGAGCCCCTTCCAGGGCCTACAGGGCTTCCAAGAGAGTTGGAGAGGGACTTTGGACAAGGGCCTGGAGTGACAAAACAAGGCTTCCCACTGCCAGAGGGCAGAGTTAGATTGGATATTGGGAAGAAATTGGTGCCTGTGAGTGAGGTGAGTCACTGGCACAAGTTGTCCAGAGAAGCTGTGGGTGCCCAATCCGTGGAAGTGTCGAAGGCCAGGTTGGATGGGGCTTGGAGCGACCTGGGCTAGTGGAAGGTGTCCTTGCCCATGACAGGGGGATGCAATTGCATGGTCTTTACAGTCCTGTCCAATCCCAGCCACCCTGTGACTGTGGAAGGCAGAGGCCCTGATATTGAAGCAGCTTTTGCTTCACAATTTTTGCATTCAAAAGCCCCATCAAGTGTCCTCACTGGTCACATATGTAGTGTTCCTGTTGTCTCCTTGTCCTCTCAGCAGAGTGGCTGCAGAGGCAATGTGTTTGGATAAGTCAGACCACATGGCCTGAAGCAGGGACATGTGCAGAGGATCATAAAAGCCACTGCAGGCAGTTGGTGGTTCTCAGTGTCTGGAAATAGGGAAGAATAATGTTGGAAGTGAGGAGCTGTGCTTTCTAAAAACTAATTCTGTTATGTAAGACAGCACTGGAAAGTTGCCAGGCCTTCCAAGGGCAATTAACTGTTAGTTGCTAAAACTGATGAAAATAGTAACTGATGAAAGCTTTTGCTCTGGAAGTTACTAGAAGAGGCTTAGTGATTGGAAAGCTTTGCCCGTTATTGAGATGTGCAGGGCCAGGGCTTGGACTTGATGATCCTTTTGGGTGCCTTTCAACTCAGGATGTTTCATGATTCTGTCAAAGGGAGTGGTACTGGCAGGGCTTTGAAAGGGGACAAGACTGTGAACTTTTCTTCCATGGCTGTAGATTTGGGACAGTGCTGTGTCTCACAGGCAAGTGTTCAGAGATTTCAAATGATCAGTGACATTCCATTTCTTTGTGTTTCTAGATGAAGCTCCCGCTTCTTGCTGTGTTTGCTCTGGTGTCTGTGGCTCACTGTGAGGATGGTGCCAGGCTCCTGGCCTCCAAATCCCTGTTAAATAGATATGCAGTGGAGGGCAAGGACTTGACTTTGCAGTACAGCATCTACAATGTTGGCTCCAGGTAAGCCCTGTCCAGGCTTCAGTACTGACCATGAGCAAATGTTCTCTGTGTGGCTGCAGGGTTGGCAAGGCAATTTCTGAGCTCCATGATGTGCTATTGCTTTTTGCTCCCTCTAACTCTGAGCTTTCAAGCAATGCCTGAAGGATTGACCCTGAAATTTGCCTGTTCCTTCCTCTTCCCTGCTTTCACCTCATGGCTGCTGAAGCTGTCAGTCCAGCATGATATAGTTCCTGCGGTGTCCTGTGACACTCTGTTCCCCACGCATGCAGCTCTCTTTCTTGGCTTTGTAAGCTGTTTTTCACATTTATTATTTTTAATGAAAATTCCTTTTTGCTATCAGGATTAACTCAGGACCTGTCAAAGATAAAACAGAACTTCCACCATGCTGGTAAAAAGTGTCATTTGCAGAATGAAAAGCTGGCTGAAAAAATGCAGGACACTATTAAAGGGCTTTGAGATTTTGGTTTTTGATATTTTTTTTAAGGCAGAATAATGCATACTGAGCGCAGTACTGCTAACAGAAGAATATATGGTGCTGTAATGTTGAATTGATACAACACTAATGAGATCCTGTAATTTTATATGTGGGATTTGGTTATTATTTAGGCCAGCATGTGTATCCATGGGATGGTATCTGAAGTTAAGCAAACTGCCAAATTGTGTTGTGGAAAAAATGGTGGTTTTCTTGTCCTTATGTTTGTTTCTCTCAGCTTTGCCTTCCTCCCTCTGTAGTCTCCCTGTAAGATACCTCAACTCTCCTCCCTGTCTTCTACTGGTGACATTTTATCTCTGAAAAACCAATTCTTCAATTTGGTCAAGATGGAAGTGTCAGTGCACTTTGCTGCAGAGCCTATGAGCAGATGGCAAAGCTTAAGATTCCTGTCTCACCCCTCTCTTTGTTGTGTTCAGTGCTGCCCTAGACGTGGAGCTGTCGGATGATTCTTTCCCCCCAGAACATTGTGGCATTGTCTCTGGCATGCTCAGCGTCAAGTGGGACAGAATTGCTCCATATCTTTTCATGTTTTGAAATTTCTTCCCACTCTCTTTCTTGCCCCTGAGTATCCTGCAGCTTCATCCTATCTTCATCTACTGTCCCTGAAATTCCTTCCAGAGCCTCCTTCCAGAGGGTGCCAGATCCAAACCCCCCTCTTCTGGATGGTGCAGTGTAAAACCAAAGTTTCTTGCAGACAGGACCAGGTCCCGGGGTAGTTCCTCTGCCTGTGGAGGAGCAGCTGGGTCAGCCTTGGGTGGGTCTGGCTGTCTATGACCACGAGCACTCAGATCTGTTAGCAGCACTGACTTGTTCACCTGGGTCCTGGTTGCTCGTTCACATCTCCTCACTTTTCTTCCTGGGCTGAAATATAACAGTTCCTTTACGTCCAGCTCCCAGAGCGAGCAATATGTCCCACACTGTGGTTCTACGGCCTCTAAAGGCTGGGTACTTCAACTTCACCTCTGCCACCATCACGTACCTGGCACAGGAGGGTGCCCAGGTGGTGGTAAGTGGCTGATTTATGGGATCCCTGCAGACACACCTGACTGTGCTCCCAGAGCTGCATGGTTGCACGGTTGCAGCGATCCATGTCTGTGTTGCTCTCACCCTGGCCAGTTCTGGAGCGAGCAGGAAAGGTGGTAAAGCCTGTCTTTTCCGTGCCTTTTCCAGGTTGGCTTCACCAGTGCTCCTGGGCAGGGAGGAATCCTGGCTCAGCGTGACTTCGACAGGAGGTTCTCCCCTCACTTTGTGAGTACCTTTCCATGGACAATGGAAAAGTGCAGCAGGCAGCTGCAGCCCAGTGTGGTGGCTTCCTGCTTGCACATCGTGTCTGTGGCTTGCCCTGCAGTCACCTGGAGAGCTCCAGAGGGAGCTGGAGTTGGTTCCTGTCAGTTCTCCAGAGAGCTGTCACAGAAACGGCTGAGTTTCCATCCCAGCTCCCTCTGTGAAGGAGCTGCACTGTGGCATTTGAGGCAGAAAATCTGAGAGTAGACTCTTAGAATCTCCTAGGCTGGAAGGGACCCACAAGGATTGTGGAGTCCAACTCCTGGCCCTGCAGAGGACAACCCCAGGAATCGCAATCATGTGCCTGTCAGCCCTATCCAAACTCCTTGAGCTCGTGTCAAGCTCGGTGCTGTGACCGCTTTCCTGGGGAGCCTCTTGCAGTGCCTGGGAGCGCATCCTGTGGGAGAAAGAGCCTTTTCTTAATATCCAGCCTTAATGT